TGATACCATGCTAGATTTTGTCACAAAATCCCAGCTTGCCCTTTCCAGAATTGCCAAGAATGTACAGTATACATTTTCTGTCCAGGTCCTCCACTAATGGAAAGTCCAACTAAAATGCAGCAATAATTTTTCTAATTATCCTGGAAAAGTTTGCTTTTATGAATAAAGTTGTTAAAGGCTTGTGGTCTGTTCCAACATGTTGCACTGATGAAACCGGCTGTCAACAGCACTTTTCTGAGTTCCTTGTGAGGACTTGCCTCAGTGTATCAAGAGTACTATTGCACTCATTTATGCCACAAATAAATAGCATTTCTCCAGCATAAGATTCTAGTATCTAGCAACTTTTAATGAAACAGCAACACATGAAGCAGAAAGAGTTGGGTTCTTTTCACTTTGTATAAGAAACGACACTCTGAAATAACACACATCTTAAACAGGCCAGCAGGAAAGGCTAACAGGTTTCTCTTGCAGTTTAGTCTGATTTTCTTGTTTACTGTTCCACATATTCAACATGTGATTTGTGTACAGAAGTTTATATATTTGTCTCCCTGTTTTTTCTTTCAGAAAATCAGGCACCTACTCATGGTAACTAAAGTGAACCTGAAAATACCCTAAAGCCTGAGAATCTAACATAAATATTTAAACTGTATTTTTATACATCATCGTCAACAGAATACATACTTTTCCAACAAACCTTAGCTATTTAACATACTACAGTGTTCATGTTCTTTGTTTACTGTCTTCTTTAGTTAAGTCTTATTTGCCCCAACATAGCAAGTGGAAGAAAAAGACTAAAATTATTTTGTTTTGAGTTTTGGGGTGACCTTGCCTCTCCTGGGGCCCAGTCATTTCTCATTTTCAAAGAATGGAGAGTTGTAGTCTTAACGAGGTCTCTTTGAAAAGAATGGCCTTGTCCAATTGTTTCAATTATGCAAATCGGGTTGAAATTGAAGCAGTGTGTGTGTGTGGGTGTGTGAGTGGGTGGTGGGGAGGGGGGGGGGTCGACACTTTCAAATTAAAAGTTGGAGGCCTTATTAATTTCCTCCCCCATCTTGCCCCGGTGCAAACTGAACTTTTTTTTTCCCATCGTCTCCTTGCAAAACAACGCTGGACACTGTTGAGATGGGAAAGAAATGCAAAGTTTAACAAATTGGAGATTATGGTGGCTATCAAAGTAGACTTGTTGTGCCTTGTTCCAGCAAGGGGATAAAACGCCCTGTGGGCATGGGGATGGGTCATGGGACTCCCAAAAGGATTACCTTGAACTGGAGTCATAAGACTTGTCCGAACAAAGAGCCTGCTCACATGCTCATCATATGAACCGCTCTTCATAAAGTGATGAAGCTTGATGTCTTGTGGGATTCGAGGAGCTTCACAGACTCTGGGAACAAGGAGCTCCAGGAAGACTGGCCAAGCTACTGCAGCTGGGAGAGAACGGGGGAAAGAGCACTTAAAATCCCACTTCAGCATTCAAATTCAAATTTCAGTTTGCACCAAAGGGCCTTTCACACAGTCACAAGGTAGGCTACATCAAAACGTCACAGAATATATCGGTTCTTGGTGTTTATGATTTGAAAGATAATCCAGAGGTTGATTAATAAGTTTGCTTTATTTGATTTAGAAATGTCTAACAGTTTGGAAAAATAATTGCAATCCAAATTCAGGAACAATTAGTCCAAATGCCAAAGAATAGCTAAAAACTCCCAGTACTGTAGTTCAGAAGTCCAATCATTTACTTTCATATTTTCAGTGATCATCATGATTTTGATGACTGTCTAGGAAATTGTAATATTATATCGTTACTACTAATCAAAGTAATGTGAGGAATACTTACTCAAGTAACAGGTAAACTGAAAAAGTGTTTGTGAAAACCATACTGGAACATTTTTAGCATCTAAATCATTCTTGTACAATGTTTATAATATGTAAAATTGTCACCTTATTGTGTCTTGTGTGGTATCAAGGCCGTTTTGTAATTTTAAAAAGATTACAGCAGCTGTTAACAACAAAAAAGGATAAAAAACAGTACAGTACAGAGTCAGGATGAAAGAAAGAGGTGGTGGTGTTTTTGTGTTTTCATAAATATCTTTCTAAGAGATTAAAACTAAAAGGTATACATTAGGATAGCCTCATCACTGCCTTAGCATGGATATCAATCTTTGTTAATTTTTGCCTATTTAATTTTTGATAAAGTTGTTCTGCTTTAGCAACAACAATCTGCAACAACCCACAACAAATCTACAACATTTCTGAAATTCATGAATTTGACAAGACAGCGCAGAACTTGCTTACCAATTTAAAAATAACTCAAATGGCTGAAGGTGAGGATAGATCAAGTTAAAATAAATTTTATTTGAAGTTTGAGCTTTAAAGTTTTGGTGATAGAGTCACTAGCTTTTGGTCCACATCTCAACTTGTACTTCTTTATACCATCTGACAGGCAGTAGTCATGAATAAATGGCATCTCTCTTTATTCAGGAGCAGGTGGGAACTGTGACGTGCTCCTTCTCATGGAATTTCTCTCAGTCTCCTTTGTCAGCCATAACCAAACTTCCAGAAGAAATTTGCTTCCAGATCTTTGGGTTTAATTAGCGCCAAACAAGACACAAAAGGCCAGACAGATATTGCTTTGAAGTGTGGCTATTTTTGACTAGCACTGGAAAAAGATCAAAATACCAGCTCTTGGGGGAGCTAATAGATTGATTAAGAATGCAGCTTTTGTTGTTTTTTTCATGACTTAAAAAAGATGTGGTTCAATGCAATATAACTATAAACTTGCTTTAATAACTACAATTCTAGCAAAACATGATCTCCAAAGAATTGTTGAAGTGCTTGTGTGTATTGTACTTGTTTCTATTCCATATTATTTCATGCTTAGTTATAGCTATTACAGTAGTTAGCAATGTTGCTTAAATTTAATCCACCTCCTAGTTCTACTGCTCTCTTGAAGTAGTTATTTTAAGATGAAAGGTTTTGGTACATAATGAACTTTTTTATGTTTAAAGTTTTTCATCCAATTTGGAAATATCTCGGAAATGTCTCTTTAGAAGTACAGGCACAATGTTCCAGGGCATGGCTCTATCAAATTTAAGTGTCAGACTCCCAAAATATGAAATCAGATTTATAATAATTTTAATTTATAATTTATCAAGCACAGATAAGTACGGATATTGTTTCCAAAAGAATGTAAAATCACTTTAATTGGATATGATCACATTTATGGGACTATATTAAGGTTATATTAATATATACAGTATATATATTATTTTCATATAATATGTGTTAGTGGCATTTGGAACTTGTTATCCTAAATCATCTTGGTCACGGCATAAATTAGGGCATCTCATCGGGGCAGCTGCGAAAATTCTGTCACGATGAGAAAGCATGTAAATGATACTGGATCCTGCAACCAACCCAGAGCTGAAAGTGCTGGATGTATCAAACGCTAACACATAGCATACTGTATGCAGGTTTCCAAACTCAGTGCTGGTACTGACAAAGCTGATCCTATTTCACCTCTGCCAGTACAAGGGAGCACAATGAACCCCTTAGTAAGATTGCACAGGCATTGGCTTGACTATGAACGCTGTCAGGGTTTCACTATTTCTTTCACTTAGGTTTATTATTAAAAAACAATACATCGTCTTGGAAAGACCAAGATTTCTGTCAGCTCTAGTCTTCGCAGTCTAAAGCTGTGCTTCATTAGTTCAGCTTCACAGACTGCACACAGGCATAACACCATATGATATGGCTACTAAAACTCCAGTTTGTGTTATTATTTAAAGGATTTTCACATCTAGATTCATTCATTCATAAAACTTATCTATAACAAAGATGATTTAATTGCCTGGTTACCATTGCAGAAAAAGACTTCCAAAATAATTTAGAGTACAGAAAAATATGTTACAAACTTTTTTGCAGTAGTAGCCTTAAAAGAGGAGAAAAGTTTTTTTCAGGGTTCATGTTTTTAGGAGTTGGCAATGATGTCAATGATTACATTCATTGAATGAACACATGAAACTGAAAATACACAGAACAAGTCAGTAAATAAAAGCAACGTATGAACATGCACATATATTTTTCTAACTATCTGTTGATGCTATGACCAGCACTTGTCTTTAGGAAATTAATCTGCAGTAATCCAGAGTGAATGCTTTTTACAAAACAGGCGCTGCAGGGAGCTCATTAACACAGCTTCCGGCGTGAGAGTGATGTTAATCACTATAGCTTAATAATGTAAGTCATTAAAAGTAACTGGCTTTGCACATACAGTACATTTTTTGGTAGATTTATACATATAGCTATTTGCTGGTATATATGAGAAGGTTTTCAGCTAGGCACTCCAGTGTCTGCTTAAGTATTTATGCAGGATTATAATCAAGCTTGGAGTAAGAGGATTACAAGATCAAGGACAGTGAAACTTGTGTGCACTAAAAGCAGAACTTGGAGTAATTATTACACTAAGATGTATGTGTCTGTGTATATACAGACATGGAGAACTCCTACAAATACAACCAATTGCCTGCACTCTTGAGTAATGTTGATCATAATGTTGGTCTTTCTAGAGATGGATGTTGAAAAATTATTCTGGGCCTTGTTGGCAAGCTGTAATTTATATTTCAGAAAAGGGAGGCAGTGAGATGGTAAAACTCTCTGCCATTCATAAGCAAAACTCGAGTCCATCCCTGGGCTTTTCAAGTTGTCAGCTGTAAGGCTACAGGACCTTGGGTTATAAAGAATGATTTGCTTTGCAGATGTGGTTTCAGTATTATGCTCGTTAAATGTTACTCAAAATACCAAGTTGCTTTAAGTTAATTAATTAAATATGGGTGTGTTTTGGTGTAACTTCAGTATGCATTTGTATATCAGCCTTCTTGGGAAAGTACCTCACTGCAAAAGTTTGGAAAGCTTTAGATTTCTATCTCTTTCTCTCTAAGGATGGACACTCAGAACTAAAGTTAGCTCCTGCTGGGTTTCCTTTTGTTTCATTGTTCCTACAGGGCCAGAAGGCTTGGATAGAGAAGACTTTTCAAAAAAGAGAATGTATTCAAGTTTTTCCTAACAACAAAGACCCAAATAGGTATGTAGACGAATCATGCTGTATACTCATGTAAAGCTATGGTGGAATGGCTTCCAATAAAGTATAAAATACAATTTATAACTTAGTCATTAATTTTATTTTTCTAATTTGGTCAATATTTAAATGGGTGTTTTATTACTGCGTGAATTCTTCACAACACTTCATCAGTCGTACTTTTATGTATTACAACAGTATTACTGCAGACTCCTTGCAGAGTCCTTATTCCATTTAAGGTCTCATAAAACAAACAACCACATTGGTTTATTGTTCCATGATTCAGAAAATCCCAGATATGGTAAATTATCCTAATGAGACATCTCACACAGGCTTCTGCTTAAAAGCAATTAAAATCAATAACACTTTGGAAAGTGTACAGCTGTAGTATAAGAATATCCCAGTAAATCCACAAAGATGCAAAATTAAAATGTTCTAGATTAGCATTTTTTTTCTTTCTTTAAATTACCCAAAAGAGCAAAATGGTGTTTTTTTTGTGAAGGCTTTCATAAACCTTTAGGTCAGGATGAAGACGTTTGGACTCCACATAATTAAAAGGAGGAAGACGTTTGTTTTGTAGTTGTAGCAAAAGCAGCAAATTAGGTGGCATAGTGCTGACCTCAGAGGGTGAAGAAAGGCTGCCAATAGCTCAGCTCTGTGTATGTGGCAGCACGTATCTGCTGTAAGGGCAGTGACGCACATAGATATGAAAGAGGCGGTTCTGACTGATATTACATCTCTTCCAAATCGTTCCTTTTTGTCTTCTCTTACCTGCCTTTATGCTCAATTTTCACAGCTTCTTATTAAAAACTTTGCAAAGTCTTTTAGAAAGCAAAAGTTTGTTTCATGTCACATCATCTTCCAGGAAAAAAGACACCACCCGATTTGGAACCCTAAGAAAGGAATTCACTAGAGCACAATAGATCTCCTATCATTACCTTTTGATCAGTAACATACAGTACTTACCCTCAGAAACATTGAACAGGTACTTGGAATGTGCACAGTCATGGAAATTGAGTCCTGTTTTTACATAATCAGAACTTCCTTCAATATTAAAGTGCAATTTCAGGAGTTTACCAGGGTTTAACTGTATTACTGAAACAGCCATAGATCTTCATTCAATATATTCTATATTATACTTCTAAATACTTTGATCTTTACATAGAGTACTTTGGGATGTTGACACTACCAGTTTCATAAGAAGTAGGACAAATATTGTGTTGTTGTTATTATTATTATGAAAATATTAGCTGACATTTTTAAACTAAGCAGCTTACAAAGATTCCAATAACCTCTGCAGTTGCATTTACTGGAGAAACCTTAATCAGCGCCAGTGATGTCCCCCAGGATTTGAGACATAACCACGTTTCCAAAATGGCTTGTACAGGCATGTGCTGCTCTGTCTGTAGACACAGGAGCCTCTTCTAACTCCATTCCCAATGTGTCCCATTCAGATGCTGCTGTGGCCTTCTAATCAGTCAACACCTGGCCGTCCTCCCTGGGTCTGTATCAAGCAAGGGCGCGGAGGAGAGCAACCAGCTCGTGCCGGCTGACCCCCAGGCAGAGAAATGGTCTGTCAGCAAACACACACAAGCCACCTCCACCGACGCCTACGGTATCATCGAGTTCCAGGGAGGAGGCCATTCCAACAAGGCCATGGTAGGGGACACAGCCCTCATCACACTTGCCACACTGTGCCCAGACCCACCTCCGTCATTCGAGTCACCCCTCAAGCATGCTAGTGTTGCCGATTTGGGAGATAGCACACAAGAGCTGCTCATGCGAAGAAAGGCTTGCGGAAGATGATGGTGCGAGTCATTGAGAGGTTTGCTGATGGTTTGTAATGCCCACATATATTCTGAAGGGGTTGCGCTCAAGTAAATATTCAGTATTTGTCACGAAAATATTTTACAGAACATAACTTTGGAGTTCTTTGAAGTACTCACATGTACCTACCCGTAGTGTACTCTTGCTAAGGGGCATCTAGATGGACAATCCCTCAGGGTTTAGATAACGCTCTGTTTTTGGCGTTCCTGGTTGTGTCTCAGTATATCAGGGTATCCTATGACTCTAAGCCTGACAACCTGCTTCACCTGATGGTGAAGGACTGGCAGCTGGAGCTGCCCACCCTCCTCATTTCGGTCCATGGGGGCCTTCAGAACTTCGACCTGCAGCCCAAACTCAAGCAGGTGTTCGGGAAAGGCCTGATCAAAGCTGCCATGACAACGGGCGCCTGGATTTTCACCAGCGGAGTCAGCACGGGTGGGTACCTTCCACATCCATCTCCTTCTTATTCTCTACTGTGCAGTTAGGTAAGAGTCTTGGGTATTGAGGTTAAACTGCTCTTGCTAAGCCCACAACCACGCACTTTAATAGGCCCAAGAGTCTGCTGTAATCAATGCTGCTTTGGGTGACACAGCAGGGGGTCAATCTCAATTTGAACAGCGTTGGTAACAATCAGGGTCTCCCTCAAGATACTGTGGGAAAGACTTGTCTGATCCACATTGCCTTCTAATGAGTCTCATGATTGGAGTAATCCCGCACAGAAGGAAAGATTTCTCCTTACACTTGCCAATCCATGGATTATGTCTACTCCCATGTTAATGATATTAAGAGATTGTAATTAATCATTCATATGCACACATGGAAAAAGTACTCTGAAGTACTAAACATTGATAATAGTACTAAATGTACCAAAAGTGTTTTTTATGAAACTGCTTAAGTATGGTGGACGCTGTTGATTAAATGGAACTGAAAAAAGAAAAAAGGTTTGTTAATAAATGCATGTGTTAGTTACATACTGGTTGATATTGCTTGACCAACTTTAACTTTTCCAAAGAAGTAGGAAAAGTATTATCTTATTCAGTATTATATAGAGTTTCACTGTCAGTTCTGTAATCTTTGTCAACTACTGAGATTCTAACATATAATAGTGGTAATCATTAACCAGTTGTGACATTTAGCAAAGCCTACTGTACATGACTACAGTTACAGTATGGTAATTAACACTGCATTCATATTAAGAAGAGCAAACAAAGATATAGGCCCCAGTTACTCTGAGGCATGAGGGGGAAATACTATTTTGATCATTTGGTCCAAAGAACAGGCGATCTTCAACCTTTTCCTACTGTACAGCTTTATAGAAGAGCAAAAGACATATGACATCGTTGTCTTTTACTTTAATTTGTTCTCCAGGGGTGATACGTCACGTTGGAGATGCCTTGAAAGACCACTGCTCGAAGTCCAGAGGGAAAATCTGTGCCATAGGAATAGCACCCTGGGGGATAGTGGAAAACAAAGAGGACCTCATTGGGAGAGATGTAAGTACAGATGAGCATGAAGGTACAGTGCTGAACAACATACTACAATCTCAGGTCCTTCTGTGTCCCATTCCTGCAGTGAGAAATCCTGAGGAGACCTGAAGGCCAATATCTCTTCTGCAGATGCACCTGATTACTCACCAGCCTCAAGAATAAAGATTATAACATGAGTGACTTTGGCAGAAAAAAAACATACCACGGATTTGAGATTCAATATTAAATGTAATAATATGTTTCAATCATTTTTCTTCTGGAGATGGATTCATATTGTCATAAATGTAGTATACAGTATATACCGTATATATATATTTGTTTGTTTAAATGAATGTGTAACATGGGTCACATATTTGCTTTGCGTGTTTTCGCCGACCAGACAGAGATTCTGTGCCTACAGCCTTCTGCTCAGAGCCTGATTTTGTTACTGGTGTTGTCCAGTCCTGTACAAACTGACCTTTCTGAATGACATGTTTCCCTGTAGGTAACAAGACCCTATCAGACGATGTCCAATCCCCTGAGCAAGCTGTCGGTGCTCAACAGCAGCCACTCGCACTTCATCCTGGCTGACAACGGCACTTATGGGAAATACGGGGCTGAGGTCAAGCTGCGACGTCAGCTGGAGAAGCACATCTCTCTGCAGAAAATCAACACTCGTGAGTGACCGCGCATCACCGTACAGAAACAAGTCCCAGCACCGGACACCGGTTAAACACGTGCTCTACTTACGAAAGTCCAGTGGACGGTTGAATAATGTTACACAGAAAAAACCAGCTCTCCTACAGTGAATTGTCTGGCCATGAGCTTCAGGCAGGTTGAGAAGGTACTATCTCCTCTAGTGCAGAGATTCCTTACGTCATTTAATTAGATGATTTAGCAGCTTCACTTCAACACCAAGGGATCATATGTACTGTACATGGTTAAGGATTGGGTAACTACACTGTACACCATTATGAGAAGTCACAGAGAACAGTCCTATCTACAGTACTAATGAGCTACAGTACATACCAATAACAAGAGATCTCCCTCCTATAGCCCTACTACCGAGTAAGGCCTCTGTCATGATAAATCATTTTAAATATGAGTTGTTTTTAAGGCTTTGTGGAAAGGAAAAGAATATAATGGGCTCATCGAGGAGAATTCCGAATGCCACACTGTGTCCGTACTAGATACACGAGACATCCGTAAGAACAGTTTTATCTTCAATCTACCAATGTTGAGAGAAGGAAGAAGCGTGAAGAAAAGAGGCAGAGAGATGTGGCTTCCTCAACACCCTACACCTGACCATAAAACATCTTGAATAACTGAAATTTCTGAGGAATGCACTTGTGAATCAAATACGTCTTGAGCTGTGGTGAATTGTGTGGAGCACTCTTATTCCTGTGAAGGAAGTCCGGACATCGTCTTTTTTCCTTTTACTGGATAATAACTTTTTTTTAGTGATTGTAAGGCTGGACTCACTGTCAAAAAATGCTCACATCATGTGACCTGTGGGTTTCCCTTTGTCATCCTATGCCTGGTGGTAGTGATAAGGCAGGGACAGCAAAGGGGTGCTCAGCTGTCACCACTAACTTCATTAGACTCTGCACTTCAAGGTCTTCAAGACCTGTGGTCATACTGCAGCAAGGGTGCCATTCAGATTTCAGATCAATTCAGATCATAAGCATGTCACAGCTACAAGACGTTCCACTCACAAATTTCACAACCACGGTTGTTTATTTGATTTTCCCCGACGAAACCCCTTCTGATGGTTATTTTCCTTTACAATGGAGGAGGTTACCTGAACTGGGGCAGGTATCGTGGCCCCAGGGACCCTGGTGTCTCTTGTGTGAGGCTATGTGTCTGCTTGCTCCAGGTCTGGGCCAGGGGGTCCCAGTGGTGTGTCTGATCGTGGAAGGGGGTCCTAACGTCATCTCCATTGTGCTGGAGAGCTTGCGCGAGGAACCCCCTGTGCCGGTGGTGGTCTGTGATGGGAGTGGACGGGCTTCCGATATCATCTCATTCGCACATAAGTACTCAGAGGAAGGAGGGTAAGGACCAGGAGACTCTGACAGAATGCAGTGTCTTGTGCTCTAACGCACTATCGTACCAATCAGCCAGTTGCGGAGTCAGTTTCATTTTGCGTGTGCTGAGATATCATCCCTGGATGACTGGACACTAAAATACAATTGAGAAATACAATTGGCAAAAAAAAAATGTTTCAGCTAAGTAAAAGGGAAAATTAAATATTCCTAAAGTAAATACAATTCATTAAAAACAGTACTGAGTTGCATCTTAGGGTCAGCTAGTTAGAAAGCTAGTTTTCAGATAACCTAGCCAAATAAGCGCTAGTTGCACGTGATTTATAGTCGAGATTTTAAATGTTTTAAAAACATTTTCAGCAGTGAGGTCATTGTGAGGACACTGTGTGCCTGTACAGCAGTCAAAGTCTGTCAAGTCTATCAATTATGATCAATCATTTAATTGAAATGATGCCAAAAGCATTTAACCCATATCCAAAATCTCTATACTTTTTCTAGAGTTTTATATTTATTTTGGGGTTCACTGTATTTCAGACATTTCAGATATCACTATACTTGGATATTTCATTTATCTAAAAGTTTTCCATGCAGGCAAATAGTCTCTGTGAGTTCTCTTTGTGTTCCACTCAGAGAGAGCAGCTTCTCGATCTCAATTGTTTTTTTTAGAATTATAAGTGACAGTCTGAGGGATCAGCTCCTGGTGACCATCCAGAAAACCTTCAACCACAGTAGGAACCAAGCGCAGCATTTTTTCCTGATGCTAATGGAGTGCATGAAGAAGAAAGAACTTGTAAGTATGGGGACTGAGGAGCCAGGAACAGTTTGTTGTTTCAGAGTGTAACTATGGCTAGATTGATTGAACGAAATGGAGGCAAAAACCAAACTAGGCACTGGAAGTTCTCTGATATTGCTTAATATGTAAGACTTTTAAGAAAGCATTCATTAAAAAGCATTTCAAGATCTAGGCTTAAAGAAACATTTTATGAACTTATTTTTTGTGTTAAATAAAAATAAAGGTACAGTCCAGAGCAGAATGAGCTCACAAGGTATGAACATACACGGTGATTCTTCTGGTATTGCGAAACAATACTTTCCTAACTAACTGAATAAGAAACGTGTACCACAATAAATATGTTTTGGTCAACTTCATTGTCTGTGTTGTGTTCCATACCTGTGTTGTCTGTTCCTTCTCCATTATTCTTGTGAACACAGAGTGCATTCTACACCGATTTCCATGTGTTTCTCCTTTCATTCACACAATCTATTTTGAATGGAAGTCACTTGCAGCAGAATAAAGCATAATACCACATAACAGAAAGTTTATTGAAAGTAGCAGCTCTACTTATTCAAATCTAATAATTTTTATTGGGGTATAATAATAGTTACATGCTGTGATTTTAGGGAATATTGGTGGACACAGTGGTAATACTTTCAGTATCACTTAATTTTAAAAATCTAGCGATTGTTCAAAACATGAATTTTCGTAAGCACTATAAAACTCACGTGACCTATAATGGCTGATGTTATCTTATTTGTGATTTTCAGAGAACACAAGTATATGAACGGTATAGAACGCATTTGCTAACTAGTTAAAAGATAGCTTTAAAACAATCATGATAATCGGTTGCTTGAAATTGTGATTTAATAACATTCAGCCTCGGAAAAGGACTTTTAAATTAGTAGACATTTTACATTTGTATGTCCTTTGTATTCAAAGTTCTTCTTTCCTTATTCAGAAACTCAATTCTATGATGCTTTTTACTGAAATTGTTCAAGCAAATATTTTGACTTTTACTTCAAAATAAGTCATATGCATAGTCACTTGTTTTGTAACCATTTCAACTTCGGCCCATTTCCTATACAGCCTACAACAGTTTCAAATAAACTCAGCATTCACTGCATGCTCTTCCTCTTCAATATGCTTCAGAAAAAATTACAGTTTTCTAATCTGTTGTTAGACTGAGGAGTAGTATAAAACACACCTTAAAAAGAATATGAATACTCCTTTGTTTACCATTTTGTTTCCAAGAAACACCATAAGTTGAGCTGGAGCTTTTATTGTTTATGGTGCAAAATCAGGTACAATCTGTATAAGCATCTCCTATTTTTGAGAAAGAAATACCCATCATTCGCTTAATGACTTGACTTTTTCACAATAATTAAATTCCTCAATCTGGCAGATGCAATTCTTGAAGCATAGCCATTAAATCAGAAAGTTGCCATGGTATATTTGTAAGTGAGCTATTATCAATATGTAATTTCTTTAATAATTTCAAAATAAATTTGGGTTATATATTTTCAGGGAGCCCCTACATAAATACATAAGCCAATGTGTGTCTGGAGTTCCTCAGCCCAGCTAAGGAAGGAATAAAACAACCATGAAACTGGCCTGTTTTCAAATAGATATGAGAAAGAACAGATTTCTCTTTTATCCATGGACTCTGTTCTTCACATTAATCCACCACCTCTTTTCTGACTCACATTATATCATTATTGAATTCATATTATTGAAATGAATGTGATCCAGAACATTCAATTGAAAATTGAGCAACAAAACCCAACGGTTAACAGTTTATTCTGTTTTTAGTTCTACTTTTTAAAAACAAATAAACAGCATTTAGGTAGTTTCAGTTGCTAAAAACATCCACAACAATTTTTTTCTCATCAGCCCTGAACCTGCTTAACAGAGATCCCACTTCTCTATGTGCATACTGTAAATGCATTGATAATAAACCCCTCATTGAATGCCAAGCCTCAACCAAACAATTTCTATTATTATGGAATTTATAATACAAGCTTAACAATATTGTCACTTTCCTACACCATCAGCTACACAGATTTATGCTCTTAGTAGTTTTAGTTTGTGACACAAATGAAGGACTTTTCTGAACGGCCACACTCTGTCAACTTCTGCAAGAACAGAACTCCGTGAGCAGAGACTATACTGTGTATCAAAAAGCTTAGCCAGCCTTAGAGTTGCAGACTGCATGTCTATGTCTGTAAAGAGCTTAGATGTGATAGTTTGAAGTATTTATTTTCTTTTCATCACTACTTCAGATAGCTAATCCTCTCTAGGTTAGGCTGCAATCCTTTCATCTTGCCCAAAAGTGGTTCTGTGTCATTGCAAAGCTTTGGAGAAAAGGGTTCCTTTGATTTCAGAGGATACAGTCTATTTACATTGACATAAAGATGAAAATGAACATGTTCTAGGTAGGCAAGACTGACTTTCCAAGTCTTTATGGACTCCGATTCACATACTGTCCTAAGGGCAGGCGAATTTACACAACCCGTGATATTTCTATAGCTTATCAGCTTACTTTCTGTCCATCATTTAACAGTTTCAGATGTATTAAGTCTCTTTGTCCACAGAGAAATTAGCCCTTCATCTTATCATTTGTAGAGCTAGTGGATTATAAATTATATGAAGTACATATAAGCAGAGAGCAGCTCCACAGTGTATTTATCTAGCAATCAGATGTAATAAAACAAAACTGGTAATGTTTTCATCTGAATCCAGCATTTAAACAGCATATATGTCTACTTCAATCCTCTCAATCACTCAACCAAACTTTTTGCACCCATAACAAACGTTTGACACAGAGTCCCATAGCGCCCTTTCTGGGTGTCTTCTGTGATTTTATCGTGTTTTTAACAGTTTGTTTTTCCTCCATTCAGAAACTGTGGATAATTAGAATTTATTACATCAGCCTGATTTAGATTGACCTTCACTGCACTATACAGACTGGCCAAACATTACAATGAAAGGCAGCTTGTGCAGCTTGTGAGTTGCAATCATTAGTCTTTAACTACAGGGCTTCATGATGTATCGATTAGTAGTAGGCATTCTAGACCCTTTTGAAACTTCCAGCACAAGGGATCGTATACAGGGTGTACTAATTGCATTATTTACAATGTAACACATGTGACAGTGCTTCAAGCATAATTGCATTTTATGCAACTGGGCTTCAACAAAGACAGTACTGTTACTGGACCAGAAAAGCGAATGAGCTCACATTGTGTCTGAAAGGGGTCTGAAGGGGTTTTGAAAAATGTCCCTTGCAGCACAGAAAATGAACACAGTAGCCTTTAAATTTCCCTTAACATCTCTGGTGTGAGCATTAATCACTTGGATTTCAAAATGCCAGTATGAATATGTATATGCACACCAAATGATGGGTGACTGACCCAAACCCAAGCAGAGTGCAATGACAGTGACAAGTGATAAGATCATTGTTTTCTCACATCAAGAACTACAGATACTACTACTGTATTTTAACTGTATTCTGAGACTTTCAAACGCATTGTTTTAGCAATGCCAATGCATGAAACCTCTTAATCCGTCAATATGGCAATGTTCAACCCCATCTAAAAGGGGTCAAAGACCTTCCAAATGAATGCACTGTGCAGCTGAAGGAACTGTCCATGAGATTAAATATTAAACCAAGGTCCTGAATAACTGGCTATGATCCTAGTGCTGTTCATAAGAGGAGAGGTGTTAGCCAGGGCCCTGGCTAAACTCCACTCTGCTTGCACAACCTGGCCTACATAACATTCCCTCTTAATTGAAGTAGTGAAGCCATGAAGATGCGCGATGTCGCAGGGCTGCTGCCACACAATAGCTGCAGTGCGTCACCCAGGTGGGTCCTGCACCTCAGTGGTGGTTAACGTAATTGTACAGTGTTTTGAAATCCTTTAGGAATGAAAAGTTTTGGATGAGTACTAGAGTTTTCAACAAAGATAGCAGCCAAATTCGCTTTCACCTCAGCTAGTCTAACACATAATCATTGCTAATGTCGCCCCCCCCCCCCCCGCCCAAAAAAAAACCCCTACAAGTACCATAAACTGACCTCTTTTCCTGCCCCCACTGCAGCTGCCCCTTCACTCCTCACTCTGCAGGGAGCTCCAGCCTCCTCACCCCATGGCCAGGGAACTGGTCCTCAGCCTGGCAAGTTAAGGCAAATCGTACTGTGACTGCACCTTGCTGGTCTGGGATCAAGGATAAACACTGGTTTGCTGTATAGCGGTTAACCTAATTGATTGACAGTGTGTCAGTATCAATCTTTGCCACATATCATCACTTGTTTTCAGGTCAATCTGCAGCCTGAATGGAAGAAGATTCCTGTGAGCTCTGGGCTGTGTCAGTCCTTGAATGATGTCTGCATCCCTGAATTCAGGCTAATGGTGGACCCATGAAGGACTGATCACTCAGGATGGTCTTCCTGACCTTTAGTGCTCCTCGTCACCCTTTCCCTTTCATTGTTTCCCAATTTGTCATGAAACCTCTTTGTGGGTGACTACTTGACTGCTACAATTTATTGAATGAACGTAGCTTTATCTTGTCTGAATACTGGTCTGGTTTCTTGTCTGATGTCTGGTTTTCTTTCATTTGAAGTTGTGTTTCTAAAACGTTGCAGTGCACTGGAATATAGAGTATCTATTCTTTCAGGTACTGTGTCCAAAAAATTAGTTAATTGAAGTGGTAAAAGCCCTTTAAACTACTGGTAGAAATGAGTCAGAACAGTGCTCACCATTAAGAGCATTCTGAAATAGATACAAAATATATACGAAAGCATATTTCACATCTAATTTCGTGCACATTAAACAGTACAATGTAGAACCATCTGACTGAAGGAATATGATGTTATGAAGATACAATCCGTTTTTGTGATTAGAGAAATAAGAACCTGGCAGTTGCACTAAATATGAATATTTCCTCCCTCCTTACACACGTACTGTAGATAAGGGCGTATAGAGTACTTAATTATATCTGTAATTAATTATATCTGTACTGCAAGGTTTCTTTAGCAACTGGGTTCTTTTGTGACATTACAGCCAATGTGTCACGTTCCCAAGGATTCTCCTGCCAAAGCTCACCACGCATACAGTACAGTACACTGCTCAAAACAGGATTGCTAATTTCTGAACTCTACTTATCTGTACATTTCTCTCTCCTAACCTGCTGTAGATTACAGTGTTTAGGATGGGGTCCGAAGGACAGCAAGATATTGAGATGGCCATACTGACCGCTTTGCTAAAAGGTACAGTAGAAGCATTCATGGAGTTACCACACTATAAGAGCTCTTAACTACACCAGAACTTTATTTAAATTGGACCTGAAATAATGAGCTAGGACCCTTTTTTCCTCAATTTTATTTTTTTTAAACTACAGTTTCAAAAAATCTGCTTCACATTAAGGTTTAATATATTCATCTGATAGGATATACAGTATTACCTTATAGAAACCCCATTTAGCACAGCATTTTAAATTACATCCATGAAAACAAAAGTTGGAAATGATGACAGTCTCACCTCCCCCCCCCCCCATACAAGGATGTGACATTGTATTCATGGCTTGTTTTGTGCCTTCAGGAACAAACGCATCAGCTCCTGACCAGCTGAGCCTGGCTCTGGCCTGGAACAGAGTGGATATTGCACGCAGTCAGATATTTGTATATGGACACCACTGGCCAGTGAGTGTTACACACAGCACTGTACTTTCAGGTATTCTCTGAGCGTCATCTCAGCTGCAGCCTCTCTCTCTCTGGTGTATGTCAGGATCAGAGCACAATAGCCATCATCCCTTTTTGGAAAAAGAAAAGTTTTAAACAAACAGCAAAAAGCTGGTGACTGTAGACCTCACTCCTGAGATTATAGAGCAGTGTGCTACAGTATATACTGAATTTAAGTGAAAAAAGCAGCCCCCGTCCTTAAACTAAAAGTCCAACACATCTTTCCAATGGTTTTCTCAAGTCTGGTCTTGAGCCAAACATGAATTACAGGTATCTGATCAACCACAATTTTTTTCATATTATTGAGCGAATGATTTCAAGACCCCATTTTCTATCTCCAAGAGATCCCAGGAGCCCTATGAAATCTGTTACCGATACACTGGCTATTTTATAGTGCTTTCATATAATGATTGAAGCAGGTAACTCTGAAATGGAGAGCCCGCACCGGTGACTGCCTGGGCATCAGAGACGCAGGGCTGTCCGGCGTGATGCTGTAGCTCAGCCACTCCCCTCTCCTACTTCCCCAGCCGCTCACCAGCCTGGGGGCCGCGGACGCGTCGTCCCAAGACAGGGACAAGAGCCCGGCTGTCAGCACACGCACCACCCGGAGCAAGGGCAGGGCGAAGGGCAAGAGGAGAGCGGGGAAAGGCAAAGACGAGCCGGAGGAAGAAACCGATCCCAGAAAGTTAGAATTGCTGAACTGGGTAAAAACACACACCTCTGGAACAATGTTTTTGCACATTAATCTTAAGATCTCTGCTTTCCTTTCCTTCTAAGATAAAGATAAGATCACTTAGCCATATACAATTTATTGTATTAGGAATTTGTCTTTTCACAAACCCCAGCTTGTTCTCCACGAGACACAGACAGGCAGAGAAGCTGGGGGTCAGAGAACAGGGTCAGCCATTTATACGGCACCCCTGGAGCAGTTGGGTTAAGGGCCTTGCTCAGGGGCCCAACGGAGTAGGATTCCTCTGCCGGCTGCAGGATTTGAACCGGCAACCTTCCAGCCACAGGCGCCGATCCTGAGCCACAGAGCCACCGCTCTTTCTGTTGAACCCTCGAATTATATTTTCAGACCGTAACATTTCCATAAGACTACTGTTTCACTTTCGAATTCAATGACCTTTAGGGATACAATAACATTTCCTCCGACGCGGAAATCGAAAACGTCAGGTTCTCCTGTCAGCGTCACACACGACGACATCGGCTTTTTGTCGGCTTCCTTCGCGATCCGGATTCTCAGTCTTTTTGGCCCGGTGTGGGGCTCCGTGCTCTGCCTGTCGAGCCCCGTCACCTGTGACACACCGCGCTTGTCTGCCGCAGGTGAACGCCCTCGAGCAGGCCATGATGGATGCCCTTGTTTTAGACCGGGTGGACTTCGTGAAGCTGCTGATCGAGAACGGAGTGAACATGCACCACTTTCTCACCATCCCCCGGCTGGAAGAGCTCTACAACACCGTGAGTAGCCCTGCGCGCCGGGTGGAAATGTGTGCTCCTTCGTCATGCGGCATCCCTGGACGTCTGAAAAATAAAACCACGTGAATCACTTCCACACATTCTCGCTTCACGTCACGTTCCTTGAGTGGTGAAAAAAAAACTAAACGGCATCGTAGGAAAACACGAAAAAAAAAACAGAATTCGGCAAGTGAAGCTTGGGGTCAGAGAACAGGGTCAGCCATTTATACAGCACTCCTGGAGCAGTTGGGGTGAAGGGCCTTGTTTTGTTGACTGTTTTGCTCAACCTGCCACTCTTCTTCACAATCCTGGCTATGAATAAGGTTCATTTTTAAACTAAGCTACAGTGGGAAATATACGTGCCCTCCTTACAGACCTGAAGCTGCGTTTCTGTTTTAATCAGAAGTTAAATAACTTTTAATTTGACATTTAAAGCAGATGTATACAAGTACGGGGACTGAATGGCCCATCATTCCATTGAAACAACCCTGTCACTCACAGCTGTTATTTGATTGCATGAAATACATGCAGACTCCAGAGTCAATACAGACTCCAAGTCACTTTCCTCTCTTTCTCACACCCGAAGAAGGCTCCACAGCCGAAACATTGTGTTTTTCTTCTTTTCAGCGTGTAATAAACCTTTACTTGTTCCTTTAAAGTACTTGGTTATTTTCCACAGCCTTGTATCAGATTTTGCTGACATCCTACACACAGAAAATAAACTCCTTTATTGCAGCTGTATCACTGCATGAAAAGCTCAATTTTCCATTACATCCAAATCTGAGTGTAATTGCACAATGGTGTGTATTAATGCTTTTTTGTGTTTCTTTCAGAGATTAGGGCCTGCTAACACATTACATTTTCTGGTCAGGGATGTTAAAAAGGTAAGCATGGTGGATTCTTTGTTCTGTCTTTGTCTTTTCAGAATGACATCATTATCTTGAACAGCAGCTTGCTGACAAAAAATGCCAT